ATGAGCATAAACTTTAATTTCTCAAGTCCAGTTCTTAACTTTTTTTGTGATTTTCTAATCATCTATTCATTCAATATTACAATTTGGAACATTTCAAGAAACCAATGGGGAACATTCTGATTCATCTGAGTTCTTCTTTATCTAAATCTAGGGATAGTTCAGGCTTTGGATCCCATACTCATGAGCGGTTTTCTTCATCAAAGTAAAACATTTGAAATTAATATGATTTGACCAACCCATATCATCCTCCCTAAAGTATCAAATGACATAGAGTCCCATTGAGTCCCTGTGATTTTATAGTTCTTCTGGGAGTCAACCCTTTTCCAGGCCCCATCAAATCACTGACCAAGTCAGAGATAACCCATGCTGTCTAGGGACATGGGATAATTAAGAGTGTCATGATTTCAAAATAATTACTTTCATTTCCTTTGATTGGAATTTGATTCATTTGGAATTACATGTGAAAATAAGAAATGATGGAATTTCAAAATAAGTTTATATTTTTATATGTTTAGTTGGGCTTTATGTGGATATCTGGTCGAAAACAAGTTATTATCAAAATGGGCATATTTGTGGAATAAGTGAATCAGTTATAATTCTGTATTTTATTCAGATTTGTGATATTTGGAAACAATAAGTGATAAACTTGGACAAGAAAGAATGATATACTAACTATAAGGAAAAATTATCTGAGAATTGTATGGGTAGTGAACTACCCTCATAAATTGTGAGTGGCGGTTTTTGTGGATGACATCATAGAGTCTGACCTAGGATAGAAGATTCTAGAGGAATCACGTCATGAATCTCATCATATAAACAATAACTTCACTCATGTTCTATTGATATGAGAGAAAGACAGGCAACTCTATAGATGTTGGCTTGGCTTTCTTGTGCTAGTGTGCTGGTATGACAAGTCCTGTATGAGATGTCCCTGCTGTTGGAAGCTCCACTGACAAACCCACAACAGATGTTTGCCACTTGCCTGTCATACTCAACAGCACCTGGAGAATACATGTATTGTCTATGGGAAGTAATTGTGGTATGCTGCTTGTTGAAGTTAAATGGACGATGAGGCTAAGTACCAGCTTCAGTAGAAACACATTTCATTTCAAACATTCTAACTGAACCAAAAGTAGCTTGGTTACAATTTGAAACCATTTTGACTTATTGCGAAATTGATTTATGCACGTAGGTAACTTTTGTAATTTGTTGAGTCATCAGGGTGTAGATACTGCCGTCGTCAAGGTGTTAGTTATGACATCATCCACCTGTGGAGTTAACAATAAGCTAAACATACAAGCGATTATTCTCTGACCTACATGTAGGCGAGATTGTAAGGTGGCCACGATATCTCAGGAGACTGAATGCGGCTGGTGTTGATTGGAGAAACCTGGCCTAACACACTTACACAAGAATATACAGTAACATATCAAGGACATTGCAAGAGCAACTAATAGTGATTCGGAACTGATTCAACGTAAAACATACTGTTTTGAATTTCATTAAAGTAAACAAATAACAATCACATAGAAATAAAATTTTAATGGACTAAATTGGATATTGAGCATCTTATGATTCTGGAATGTAAAAATGAGTGTACGATAATTCACAAAAGATTTGCAAGATAATTACACTGACATTTCTCAAGAAATAGGCTTTAATCTCGATCTTGATTATGTATTATGGGGGTCAGAACTATGGGGGCTACTATGGCCCCGAGTCGAGCAATCAACCCTCTAGCATGTATTACAACTATGGAAGGTCTCCATTCCAGGTAAATATGATAAATTAAGGAATATTTGAAAAAATATACTATAATTAGTCTAAATACTGTATTGCATAAATTTGACTTATGACTGGTATACTCTTAGATGTTTTCTTTTTCATGCTGTGTTCTGTAACAATTTTTGGTCCTTTCCCTTCGGCACTTGTTCACACATATTTTGATGTAAATATGGTTTTTGATTTTGTAATTTGAGAATCAACAGGCTTGAAATATATTATCACTTGCTCCTAAGTTTGTACAATGTACTGTTTTCTCATTATCATTCTTGTGTCATATCCAATGTTACCCAGGAGGATTTCTTCTCAACTGGATTTAAAATGATCAAACATGGCCAAACCTGTTAAAAATATCCCAATTTTTAATAATAATTTTCAAAATCTCAATAAGGTGGAAATAGTTCCAACTCCTACAAGATAGTTTTCAAATTTTCAACTGGATGTAGAGTCCCGCCTGTTTACTTTTTTTCTGAGGGATTTCAGTGCTATTTGAGAAGTTTTACGCTTTTCAGCATTGGATATCCATGTTTAGTTGTGGAAGATTTGTGAAACATGTTGTCTTAGGGTACTTCAAAAGGATGTGGTACATTGGTTAAATCCTAGCATGGGAGACTTAAATGATTTAGCAGCATTAGCACATTATGCGTATTGTATGATGTATGTACTTTATTTTAATTAAAAACAGATTTTTAAAAATCTAGATAGGTATAGTTGAGATATTTTCAGTTCAATTTATTAATCCTCATTTAGCATAATTACACAATGATCATTTAAAGATTAGCCAGTGTATGGATATTTAGTCCAAAATAAGGTAAAATAGAAACATAAATTCTAAGATTTAATTGTATATAAAAGAGAAAGTAAATGTTTTTGATTTGCTTTTCTAGCCATTGAATCCTAATTAGACCCCTCCTCTAATTTGTGTTCCCTTCCCATGTTTTATTGTTCAAAGAATTGTCTGATTTAGTAGAATGTTAATGAACTGCCAAGTTTGATTTTAAGTGACCACAAGTTCACATCACACAGCTGGCCCAATATTTCTTATCTCTTGTTTCTTGACCTCTTATATGACAGGAGTCTCTTTAGTAGCAACAGGTCCAATCTTTCTTGGAGCATATATAAATGTCAGCTTGGGCAATTCTATATTGAAATGCTATGTCTTGGAGAACAATGGAGAAATTATGAAAGATTTTAACGTTTGAGACTTTAATTTTTTCATCCCCCCAACGACATTATTGTTAAAGTTGATAAGATGGAAGGGTCAAAAGACTTGAAGCAAAACACCTTGAACATAAAATAAAGTTTTTTCACAGATTATGTTGGGTTTCTATGTTACCCAAACAATTGGACACAAATGTGATAAATAGCATAGAAAATACAAGTTACTTTAAACAAATATGATAAAACGAAATAAATGATTCTTTCCATTTTGATAAGGCTTAAAACTTCAAACTGAATTATTCAAGATTTTTGTAACTATTTATCACGCAAAATTTGGAGAAAAATATTCAAACTGAAATAATATCTTATTCTAGTATAATATTTTATTTTGATTACTTTTTGCCTCACCTATTTCAGAATCTTGGTTAAATCCCTAGTGTTTTTTTCTTGATTTTGTCTTCATTGTGTAATCAAATATTTGTGAGAATGAAGAAAATCTCTGTATTTTCTGGGAAATGTTTTGATTCGACTTCAACTCAGCCTGGTTATATTTCAATATCTCAAAAAGCACAACACTTATCCACTTTGATTATCCGGCTCATTTACATTTATGAACGGAAAGATTCAAGAGAACCTGCTTACCTTGAAAACCTTTCTATTGTTCTAATTTTTAAACCATTATGAGAGAAATGAAATAAAAACAATGAACTGATTTTGGAGGAAATGTTGACTTTCAACATAGCTTTGGAAATGCTGAAACTGAGCATCCAATTCTGGGATTAAAAAAGAAAGTTGTAATTGAGAAGCGCATAATCTTTGTTCAAGTTTGGAACTTTGTAAACAGGGAAATCTAACATGGTAGAATATAAAGGATGAGTTGAGTGTTTTAAGTAGCATGAGACGTCATTGTAAAGATAGGATGGTGGGAACTTTTTTCTATCTTTGAAATCTGAGATACAAGTTCGCATCTCTGGAATAAAGATTAACTCAAGTCACTGTTGGACTTCCTAAGAGACGGAGATTGAGGATGTTCAAGCAATTATATGGTTTACACACAAAAAATTATTTTATTTTATTTAAAATGCTCTATGTATATGTTCTTTGATGTATATGTTTCCATATGGTATGATTAAGGCTTGGTACATAATGGTTTAGTTCAGTTTTTTTTTCTTTTTGATTAAGTCATCAAATTATGAAAATGTCAAACATTTTTTTAATGATGAAATAGCACATCACACATTTAACCTTTAATAAATTGGAAAAATATATTCCATTCAAATGCAAAAATAATTCCTGTAGATCACCATTTCTCAGTTTGACAGCCGGAAATTTCGAATAATATTGCAGTAGTTTTGTTTATATTTCTCTTATATAAATTTTACAGAGCACTTGTAAAAATCAACGGCATCGTATCACAGAGATAAGAAAATATCTCTATAACCAAATCCAGCGTAGGGAAATCAGAAAAACATTTGGGGAGTTGAGTTTCTTCTATTGATAGTGTATTAATGATGGGCCTGAGATGCTATAGAGACATTATAGAACAAACAACTTGAAAACTATGTTGCCTCATTTACACAAGATGTTAAAACATAGAAAGTCAAACAAAAACAGATGAACCATAGGAAAGCATATTCTTTTTTTCCCACTTTGATCATTATATATGATGAAGACATTAGAAAATAGCTGAACAAATTACTTGAAGTTTCTTATTGTCAATTTTCTAATATATGCTCTAAGAAGCCAAGTTTATATTTTAATATATGTAAAGTCTACTGTCATGTAAAATTAAAATTATTATTTCCCCATTTCTATAAAAATCAAAGCTAGAAAATACTTTTTATGTTTATTTATGTTTCTTGAGTATAAATATATATACAGATTTATGCCATAGTTAAATTAATATTATTTTAAATATGTATTTTAAGAATTTTCTAGCAGCATTTACTTTGCCGCTATAAAATACTTAAAAGACATATTTTACATGAACCCTTGATAAAGGCACTGCGTTACAAAATCAGTCAGTTGTTTATATGTTTTTCTTGTATGTGTTTCAGATATATTCAGCTCCAACAGACCATCCTAGCGGCAACTATAGCTCAACATCATCTACTCCTGTCTCTTCCCCTCCCCCAATGCCAGGCACAGGTAAAATACCAGTTAGTTTTTAATTAGATTAGTTTCTCTGTTTTTGTACATATGAGACTTATGTGTCATGCTTTGATACTATTGTCAATAAAATAAATATTTATTACTCATATACAACATTTTTTACCTTCACATTTTTCTAGATCGACCAAATAATTATTTCAAATAGATGACATTTTATTTTGTATTCTTTCACAAATATACACCATAGCAATCACAAATTTTACTTCACATAAGCCAAATTTAGAATTATGTGCATGTCTTAAAATTCCAATGAAGTAAATTGTCTCACTTTCTTTGCCCAGTCTTCGTCCGACCATTATCGCCAGCTAGATTCACTGATATTTAATAGGACCTCGTAGATGTTTTATTTTCCACATTTTCAGGTCAAACTAGTCAGTGGCCACGATCTTCTCAGAGCACTACCTCCCCCTTCGAGAGTCATTTACACTCACTGGTAGGTTATTCACACTTAATTGATGCTTATTTCCACTTATTTTTAGTTATTTTACTCTGAATTGTAATCATGACTGGAAACTATAAGCTTTTAGCTGGGGTCTATCTTTAGTTTTTACCATATAACATATTGAATTTCCTTGGTGAATCTTGTCATCTTGTCCATTGAAGTAAGTTTTTCTTGCGTAAATTACAATTCGAATCATTTGAGAATTTCAGCAAATACAATATGAAACCGAAATTGACAAGTTTTTCAGTATATGAGCTTGTCATCAAATCTGATCACATTATTTCTTACTTTAAGATAAAACTGTATACAATGTCTTCATATACACCGGGGAGGGGGGGGGCAGAATCTTAAGAAAATTTTACAATAATCATTTTGAGTTCTTTTGAAGAAGTTTAACAATTCCTTAAAAAGAATAACCACCAAAGTTATTTGCATGTTTTGTCAACCTTTAATATTCAGATTTCTTAGGTTGTGCTCTATATATTGCATGATTAATTCATACAACCAATACAATTTACTTACGCTAAAAAATTAATGCAAGTGTACAAGTTTATAGAAGAAAGGCAATGTTCGCGAACAAAATTATTGTTTCATAAATAACAGTCTCGGGAGACTAAAGATGCACATTGACCCAGGAAAGAGCCTAGGAATAGTAACCTTTGAGCTTTTGACTGGGAGCTTGTGCCTGTAAAGTATGTATACTGACAGAACAAAGGGATCATGTGTTTTCTGTAAGCATTGATCCTTTCCTATTTAAGAAAAAGTTCTGACAATGTAAAATGTATGACTAACAGTTTCTCCTAGTCTTAAAGCATTTTAACATGTATGCTGTACATCACTTGCCTAATAAAATTAGATCCTCGGCATAAATTCTATTTAAAACAAAACAAAAGTGATATGGAAGAATTCTGTAAACAGACAGTTCTTGAACTTAGATGATTTTTGTCAATGACTAGAAGGTTCTTTTGAGTTTTAGGAAATTATTTCTTAAAATGTTGTTTTTACTATCCATTCTTATTTATTTTTTCTCTAAATATCCCAACTGCACTGATTTTATTAGAAAAAATGTTGACTGTTGTACATTATTGTGTTTAAGTTGTTTTGTTATTGTATGTATATTTATTGTACTATTGTTGTCATATTGTTATATAAGCCAATCCCTTTTTACAAGGCATGGATATTTTGCATTGCATCAAAATTTACTCTATATTTATACATGTTGTTTGTGCATATTTGATTTCTTTCAATTGATTTTGAACTTTTACACACTGACTTTATTTCTGCATATTTGATTTGCTTTATTTATACTTTAATATGTGTCGAATAAGAAAAAAATTTTGAACCTGAATGCTTCCATTTTCTCTACTCTGATACATGATGTTTCAGTTGATATACCAATTTAAAGCAATTGTAGGCATGTGTATTCATGGTTCAGAATCCAAGATTTCTTATTCATTCATATTTACTGCATGTTCATGAATTTTGTGTATTTTTGTTACCATAGCAATCCGTAGGGGAGGATGACCAGTTTAATGATGCAATAACTAATGTACTTCGAGATCAGACCGAGGTAAATCTAATACTGGCTTCCTATTGGTCAATTTTTGATATAGTTTTTATTTCTTCAATCTAATTTTTTTAAATATTATTCTTTTATTAACACTGTTTTACCATTTCTCTTTGATTGTTAGAATGTTGTCTTGTATTAATATTCTGATGTCATTTGACACTAAAATCTACCTTGATATACCCCTGATTATATCCCCCTGATGTTTGAAACTATCTGAGTCTTTACTCAATCTTACTTCTGGTACTCTTCTAATTTATGTTGTCTGTACGTGTATATGTAAATTCCCATGTGTGTTTGACATGTATGTTAATTGTTAATTATTTTCATGTTTAACCTACCTTGCTATGATATGCCTATGTTGCTTTGCTTTATTACCTGTTTCAAAATATGAAATGAATTTATCACTAATATAAATCGCCTGTACTGAAATGCATCGTGTATGTTCTAAAATTATTTGCATTCAATTGTTTTGCATTCAGACCTCTAAATTGACCACAAAATGAATAGAAGCTGAGAGGTCTTTTTGGCAAAACTTGATTGTCGTGAATTTAGTTTGATTGATTGGTTGATTCTTGTTGTGTTTTGCATGTATTGTTTGAATGCTTCATAGTGTTATGCTAGACCCTTGTATTCATCCCTATTTATTTATAGAAATCTTTTAACCTTCCACAGCAAAGTCGAATGGAAGAAAGACTCGATGACGCCATTCACGTGCTACGGACTCATGCGGGGGAAGCCATCCCAGGAGGAATGGGCAGCCATATTTCCCACACTATGCCGCATATGATGTCACATTCCAATGGGATTATGGGGAATATGAACTCTGTGTATCCTCCACCAATGGGAATGCCTGGGCATATAGACAGCTCCCATATGGTAAGTTTCAAGTCAACAATAATTGAAATCCTTACATCTTGATAAAAGTACCAAATTCAGAGAAATTTAAATTAAAGATAGCCAAGCTCATGTTGTACATAATGTAAAAATGGTAAAAAGTTATTTTGGAGCAAAACATGAAAAGCCAGTTCAAAATTGATGAAGAAAGATATTTTTAAAAAAAATGTTTTTTTCATCTGTGAATCGGAGTCTAGTACAATATTAGAATTAAGCAATACATCAAAATGGTGAGAATTTCAGGGGAAACTGCAATGTTACATATCAGAAGATATAAAAACAACACTAGAGATGTGTTACCTTCCACTTATGTTATCATTATCATTTTATATTGCCCTAAGTGCTGACTTTGAAGTACAAGAGAAGCACAGAAAGTTTTATCTCCAATTCTAAAGCAATTTCCGAGATTATGATTCTGCCTGATGTATGGTCTTCGCAAGTTTTATTAGATCAAATAAAATTGAGATGTGTTCATATCATCTCCCCTGTAGTACTTTGATGTATACTCACAGTGTTTTAATGTTCAGATAGCAACTACACCTTTAAACATCAGAGAAATGCATCTATGCGGTTGTCATAGATACCAACATCTTGTAAGGACAAATTATTTCATCCCACATACTATGTTTGTTCCTCAGTTATAACATTTATCATCATCTTTTTTTTTTTATTAAGCCATTGTTATCCAGTTTTACGCCAAAGTTACATTAAAAAATTATTATAAAGTTTTTAACAGTTATGGGTGTAAGAAAATGCTAGAAGTATCTAAGCACTGACTTATGGTTACATACTGATATACTATATGAGATACCAATGGAAGAAATATGTAACAAGAGATTTGTTACTTCTAAAAAGATTTGTTATAGGCATTTATTGGCTCATATCATAATTATATTTGACATACATACACAGAAGATATTCATGACATGCTTAAAATAATCTTTCCTGATTATAAAAATGTATAAAGCAAGTAAATGTTGTTATTATTTACATTTTGCGAAAACTGTATTGATTGTATGGTAGCTAAAAATTGGTTGGCAGGGAAACACATCTGAAGGCAATCTAGCCTAAAACTAGAAGGAGGCTCGCTGATTCTGACACGCTCAATACAATGCCTCAGATACATATCTCACCCATCTGCCAGTTTTATGCCAAAATCTTAATAGAATCACGTAACCATACATTTTAGTCTGCTCAGGTTTATTTAGCTCAACCTTTAATCCTGAACCAGAAGACTAATATTCATATTTTAATTTTGGGAATCAAAAGCATTGAATATAATTATTACAATTTACTATCATCTAACAAGCCTATTTTTAATATCAGAAAATTAAAGAAAAATTTCCAGAAAGATGTTTTTTTAACTTCATGGTTTCGGACCCAAGAAGCTTTTTCTCATCAAAGAGATAATTCAAAAGAGCTTGAAAAATGAATGTAGGTTTCTACATGTTCTATGTGGGCATCTGGCATCAACTAGAACCGAATGTTTACACAGGTTTTGACAAGCGTGGATAAACATCATATAATGACCAATCACCATATACAAAACTAGACCTATAGCTAACCTTCGGGTGAAAACAAAAAATAATTCCTGGTTCGATTTTTGTTTAGTTTTTTCATCAGTTGCCAATGTTCATTGCACGGCTGTCTTTTGGTTAAAATTACATACAGAGCTAAGAAATTCTTAGGATGACTTGCATTGTTTTTTCATTTGTTGGAGGTAAATCGCACACATGTTCCATATTAGACATTTGGAAAAATCAACAATTTTATTTATATTAAGATCATCAAAGTTTTGTGAAAGATTTAGTCATGTGGGTATGAGGGATTATTTCTGAAGATTCACTGAGATGCCACTAGCTTCTGTGCTCCCTGCTGATTGGCTGTGTCAGTTAAAGGTTCAGTTGCCATAGCAACACCCTCCCGCATCCTCTATTGTACAACTCCGGCCTGCTGTTAAATAGCTTCCAGATCAGCGTGTCAAAATACATTAGTTCCCAGTGTGTTTTTTCTTGTGCTATTCCCATTGAAATCTCTGGCAATCATTACCCATTAGGATCTGCCTTCTTGGCAATACCTACTCCTTCTGGAATCCATTATCCTGTGCAGAACTTTTTATTTTACCCATAATACACCTGCACTGCCAGCAGACGATAGTGATCAGCAATAGCCGAAAGATGAATTTAGACTGGGCTGCTAATGAAGGCTAGGATTACTGTATGCTAGTTGTTGGAATAGTGACTGGGGGCAATATATTGTTTGTTTGAGGAGATCTACCTGTTAGAAAAATCTTTTGTTAGCTTTGAACATGGAAAAATCTGGATAATTTTACATGCCGTTTCGCTAAGATATGGAATAGAATCATTTAGGATAGATAGAGATAAGACTTAACACTTAAGAGGATTCAAGGATTGGAAATTTTCTCAGTGGCTTTACTTGAAATCAGGATCACGAGTTGATATTAAGGATGTATGGACAGTACCAGTGGGGATCAGGGGGTTACCCCATGACTGAGTCTCTGGACAGATCTACCAGTCTACCCTACGCTTCATGGTGTGGCCAGGACTATGCTGTCCCCACCCCGGGGATCGCCAACACATCATACAGGAGCACTGTACAGCCAGAGAGCAATGCTAATATATATGGCTATTCACCATACTATTGGGTAGATTTATTTTCTATTTGCTTCAATACATTCATAATTTGATCATATCAAGTTATCTTTTCGAATAAACATTACCAGCTAAGTTTGTTTTTTTGAATCAAAAGTCAGTTTCAAGTCAATGTCATTTTCTAAGATTTGCATGCCACTTTCATGCCACTTCTGGAAGTATACTTCCAAACAATGATGGGTGGATGTGATGTTTTGATAAATCACAACAGGATTTGACTGTTATTTATTTTTAAATGAAAATTCTGTGACATATCACAGATATACGAATCAGTTGTTTTCAGTGGTTAGACAAATAGAGCCAGTAGAATTGTATTAGGTGGCAAACACGTTGAGTATGTATCCAGATCTCTTCACACAAAACAGAAGTTGAAGATTGAAGTTATGCTAACCCACAATTACTGGACACCTGGTCCAATAACTCATACCTTCCATCACTTGTTGAGTTGTGGCTTCATGTCAAGGCTAGAATGTTTTTACACAAGAAATAGGCAAGACAGAGGAACTATTTGGGTTTAATATAAGAAATTAATTAAATTAAATATTTTTGCTAATTGCTGTCATTTCAGATAGTTTTATTTCAAATAGGTCATGGTTTTTATATGAAATGGTGTAAAGATCTTATGAGTTTTTTCAATGTATACAATTTTCTTGGTTTTCGACCCATTGAAACAATGACACAGTTGTCATGCCAACCTAATGGAAATGTTTGTGAGTCTGTCTCTCACTCACCCTTCATCTTCACTGGTGATGGCTTGCAACAACCATCCCAAGTTGTCTCTATGTCACATATATCTGCCTACTTTTCACGTCCCTCTGTTTTTACCAACAGCATTTTCGTTCTTCCTACATCTTTAGCTTTAACTACAATTGTTGTTTATTCTCAACGTTTTACATAGAGACTTTTTTGGGTTGGTTTTGATTTGTCTGATCTTGATTTATTCTGGAAAAATTAGACTTATTCTCATATTTATCATAAATATTTGAACACAGAAACAAAAATCATTTTAAACCTCTACTCCTTACATCAGATAATAGCTGAACATACAATAATAAAATAAACAAAAATAGATATGCTTATAAAAGGTTTCACACTCAACTAAGTGTTGTTGGGAACATTGTACAACATTGCAGTTTTCCAGCTGATAAAACCTCATTGTTTTGGATATATATATTATAGTATTAACACATTATATAATCTTATATTGATGTCATTTTGTTTGTTTCCTTGTAGCCTAGCAACCACCTTGGTCAACCACATCCGAGTCAGCTATCAGAAGACAGAGGCAGGAACACATTAACATCATCACAAACTTCTGAACCCACATATAGTGGTGAGTAAATACTGTATTTTTCACATTGCCTCTGAATTTACGATTCTTGCGTTTTTAATTGTACAACGATTCAAAATTTTTATGTGAAATTTCTGGAAGTCTATAGAAATAATAGTGAGCAATATAGTCTAGGATTTAAATTCTAAACACACCGTGTACATTTAAAATTTCATTTTTATTCATTATGAATGTAAGATGCAGGAAGTATGCTGTTGCTATTATAAATCAAAATCATTGTTTGCTGTAAATAATTGCCTGTTTTTGGAAAGGTCAGATGTGGGAAGTACAAAAGCACACAATTATTTCTAGAGTATTTTCCAAGCAAACATCCAATACTTTCATACACATAGCACATGTGGAACATTGCTGACATCTGTAACTCATAATAGGCCTCACATGTATACAAGACTTGGTATCTTAGTTTAGTGCTCCAACATGTGGAGTCTATTTAGCCCTCATTTTAGATGTCATTCCCACACTATCTTACATAATTGCTCAATTTTCTACAATTTTCTGCTACATTACCTTCAATTCTCACACATTGAGATTCTTTGTTTGGACCCCCCCCCCCCCCCGTGTACCTTGAAGATTGGCTTATTGAATATTTAGTTTAAAAATATTTCTTTTACAGCTTTAAGAACTGAAAGTGAACAGAACAGTAGTACAGATGGAAACATAAAAATTGAAAAAATAGACAATGAAAATGAAAAAATATCTGAAAAGGATGAGAAACCAGGAACAGTGTTAACTAGTGGCGGTTCAGTGACATCACAAGCTCCCGGCTCTGCTGTCACAACTACGGCACCTGCAGCTAAACGTGCTAGGTACATAAAATTTGTTACTTGTTAGAAACGCCCATCTTAAATGAACTTTCGATTAACTTTTACTAATGAAAAAATATATAAATGTAGATATTTGTCTTAAAAACATGATAAAAATAAAGTGGTACCCAGTTGGTAATTGTGGATGTAATTCTAAATACAATCGGAAATATTAATGATTAGACACATTGATTGTAAATTATATGCATGCTATTTTTATTTTGCTTTGAAACATGTAACCTAATATGCCATGACAAAACCCACTTTTCCCTTTCCTAATTTTAGTATACTAATCATGCCAGTCTTATTTCCTATAAGCTATAGCTAAAGCAATAGACAAAGACAATATATTACACTTTAGTAGTTTAGTAGTAGCTCTTATTCTTAGATTCATCAAAGAAATTTAGATTATTTTACTTACCAAAGTTTATTGAACCAGCATCATCATTTAGAATTATTTACAAAATTGCATGCTTTATTAGAATTCTCACATATTTACAGCATTGTATTCTATAGTTCATTCATTGTTTTATGTAAGACATTTAAACTGTATAGGTTTGTAATTTATGCTTAAATCATGACTTTTACAAAATTAGAAGACAACTGTACTAACATGCATACTACTATTACTATGAATGATGCCTTTGTATTTTAGCCTACATTTTCTTGATAAAATTTCAGATTTATACCATACAAGGCTGTGATTGAGAATGGGCTTAGTCCTGGATTGTCCCCTTAACCCCCCCCCCCCTCCATATTCCCTGCACAAGCACTGCTTGATTCATTTTACCTGTTTAATTTCATTTTGTGTTTTATTTTTAAGATTTTTTTCTCAGAAATAGATCATTTGTATTTCTTTTTCTGTAATATCTATTTTGGAGTTTTGCTCAGTTCTCATTTTGTTTGGAAATATGTGATCATTTGCTTTGTCATAGATATGACAGTATTTGCTTTGTCATGATTATATCCCATAATACCCAATAGCTACGCTAGTGACCCCTGGTGAGTAATTAACCATCTGCTGCCCAGTGAGGACTGAAGCAGACTGATTTATGGTTACAGGAGCGATGGGGAAGATGAAAATGATTCATTAGAAGATAAAGATGAACGAGCGCGGCGGAAACGAGAAGAAAATAACCGTAGAGAAAGGTATGCAAACTTTGCAGTCTGCATCGCCTCCTGTTTGCATGTTGTTTTGCTTTAATTAATCAATACTTTTTCAGAGTCGGAAAAAAAGTGGCCAAAAAGGATATGGGTAGTATAGGCTCAAATGAAGATGATGATGAAGACGATGATGGTTTAGATCCTGCTGGCAAACAGGAGCGAGATAAAGTCCGGCGCCAAACCAATAATGCGCGGGAAAGGTGGGTTGAACTGTACCGTCTGTTGCGACTAACACTCAGTTTTTTTGTAGATCGATCAAAAACCAATCTGGGGATGATGCGGAAGAGCCGGAGGATATCGATCAGGATAAAAAAGTCCGCCGCCAAACCAATAACCAGCGGGAAAGGTGGGTCAAACAAAACACTAACACTCAATCTTTTTGTAGATCAATGTCAATCAATCCCCGATCAGGTGATGCTAGTGAAGATGATGATGACGATCTCGATCCAGAAAAAAAGCAAGAGCGCGAGCGTCATCGCCGCGCTGCCAATAATATCCGGGAAAGGTAGGAGGTGCATCTAGTCATATGTATTGTCTGTCATCTTTGTAGAGGGGAATCAGACATTGATGATGACCTTACTCCGGAAACTAAAGCGGAACAAGAACGACTTCGTCGTCAGTCGAATAATGCACGGGAAAGGTAGGGAGAGAGCATATGGCTATGTTTTCTCTCTTGCTGCATGCGTATCCGTGACTAGAGTGTATATATTGGTATTCAGTTGTCCTGCATGCCCCTGACACTAAAAACCGACAATTCTATTTCCATTTAGACCTGGGCAACGGGAGATGCTGATGTTCTAGATTTATATAATAGATGTCACTGCTTACCTACCCTGGTGTGGCCATCATTGGTCTGATTCTTATCCTTACTTAAAGGCCCAACTCTACAAAACATGAGAACATGACTAATGAAGAATATTGGAACAAATTTTGTGAGAGAGTGCCTTTAAGATGGGATATCAAACCATGAATGAATACTAGGGTACCCGGAACCTTCCATGACATACCTGATCAATCTTGGTTTATCATTCTATTCATACTATGGTGACCAAACCTGGGCTTCTAGGTATGGTGATAGGAAGGAAAAGGTCTATTGGGCCAGTAATGGTATAAATATACATGGACGGTGCTGGGAAACTTGTCAGGACATAAAAATGCCAAAGTTAAAGACTTAAGTTGAAAAATAAGGTCTGTTTAAATTAAGATCACCTGATCAGTTACATTCTTATAACCTGACAAGTTCATAAATTAATGTATTGAAAAAGCATGGAGTTGTTGTTATTCTATATTGTAAGACTGTATATTGTATAAATGTTGTTTTATGACGAGCCATGTATCATGTCTATTTGAGACTTAAAGCTCTCAAATAGAATATATATTTAAATATGTATACGCCTACCTAACACATTTTTGTTGTATTACATTTTAATCATCATTTTGCACTATATTGTTTGTCAAAATATTTAAAGAAATCAAAATAATAATTGAGCTAAAAGTTTGCAAATCACTTTTGTTCGCTAGTATTATATATTACATATGCTGTATTTCAGTAATTGTTAAATATGTTCTGGCAATACTTGTAGCCATCTTGGTAAATCATCTGAACCAATCAAATCGCTTCATTTCCTTCACCCCTAATTGATTGTTGAAGAAGCTTTTCTGTTAATTGCTGTCACCCCCTTTTGTTGTCACCAGCCCAACATTAACCCCTAACATGTCATATTTTTTCTAGATTGCGTGTCAGAGATATAAATGAAGCTTTTAAAGAACTTACCCATATGGTAACAATACATGTAGGAAGCCAACAACCCCTGACTAAATTAATGACGTTACAACATGCAGTTACTGTTATAACACAGCTCGAGGGCCAAGTGCGAGGTACCACGTTTTTGCCTTATATGGATTGCAATCTGCATGTGCTGATTTAGCCAGCCAATCATAGTCTTTGTTCACAGAATGATCAACCCTTGTTACATGATGGGTAATGTTTTCTGTGCACAGGGACTAGTCGTTGTATGGTATTGTCATGAGATGGATATAGAGAAGGGACCCTATGTGTTTTGTCATTTATCCTGCATGAATCACTAAAATACTGCAAACATGGCTCTATTCAGAGAAGTCAATTATGGTAGTTTGACTCTATTTAGAGAAGTCATTTGTGGTAGTTTGGTGTTTCGTGGTGCATGTCCCAGCCTCCAATGAACTTTAACAGTGGTCAAAATGTCAATTACAAAATGTTGCAAGTAAAACGTTTTGCATGTGCATGTAGTTCATGATCCAAATTATCAAACATTTCCGAGAAAATCTGACACATCTTGGCACTGGAATGAGACATTGTTGAGGCAACTATTAATCCATCTTAAGATAATGTTTGTGTTTTTGCACACCCTATTGTTGATATCAGCTCAGACAGCACTGAAACAATGCACTCTGTCTGCATTTTCCAAGGTTTGATGCATGGAACAATAATATAAGACATTTTTTTTATTCATTCAATTTTTATTATGTGTAGTGCTTTGACTCATTTTGGTCAAGTTTTATGTATAAGGGGTGGTTGATAAGAACCTATAGGCATGTGACTTATTATATATCAAAATAAATATTGTTATAATGTTAATCTACTAGACTATAGATCTCCCATAACTATTGTAAAAAGAGTGTTCTAGTCGTTATATGCAAATGAAATAATGAGTCACTATGCCTGTATTCTAAGCATGTGTGAGCCACTCTAATGTAAAACTTGCCCAATAGGAAGAGCTGTGAAAGGGTATGCAAAAATTGTGTTCATGCAGAGTGCAGTTCCTTTGAGGTGGTTTCCCGCTTGTGGACAATTGGGAGGGTGTGACAGTTTTTTCCATTTTAACCCCTTCATTGTAAACCCTTTCCCAAGATTCCCCATCCCAGGGCAACATTTTCAGACATTTCACAATCCAAGATGGCTGCAGGTAAGACTAGTCGATCAACATTGAGTGTAGCCTTAAAATCACTCATGGAATTTTTACAGAATCCGTGTTCGGGATATAAATGGTGCTTTTAAGGAGCTGGGGCGTATGACTACGTCCCATTTAAAAACAGACAAGCCCATGACTAAACTGAGTATACTACAGCATGCTGTCTCGGTTATCACAAGTCTTGAGTCTCAAGTTAGAGGTAGGGAACATGGACACAATTTAGTGCATACATTGGTGTTGTCACTATTTACAAATAAAGCCATTCTTGGGCATTACCCCTTTTACATGTTTAATGTATCTATTGTTTGTTAAATGGGAATGGTTGCCTGTTTTTTGATAGTTGTTTGTGCATGAAATAGTTAAGTTTTATTTTAATGATTTATAACCTAGAATTTGTAATCATTCATAAATGTTTTCACCACAGCCAGTTAATGTATCTCGTGATGGGATCTCAAATTGTAGAAAACAATGCATTGAAGTGTACACTTTAAAAGGAGTCTTTTTCAGTTAGCCATTTTGATAAAGGAGTCTTTTTCAGTTAGCCATTTTGATGGAGATTGCAAATCATAACTCAAAAGTAACCTGCCAGGATTTATACTCCCTTGATGATCAAGAGCAGAATTTATCATTTAAATCAACATTTAGCATGGAGAATATATTGGAGAAAAAAATCAAAAGAGATCTCTGTAGCATTACCTACTTTCTTGACAAATATAACAAGTTAGCTTTAATTGTGCAATGTTTATTTTATACAACAATGTGATTATTTCAGAGCGTAATCTCAATCCTAAAGCTGCTTGTCTAAAGAGACGAGAAGAGGAGAAAACAGAAGAACTCCCTGGCCGGGCACCACTAGGACCCGATGAACTAGCTCAGCAGGTGGCGCAACAGCAAGCCATGTCGGGTGGGCAGCAATTTTTACAATAAATTAAAATGGTTAGAATAAATTAAAGTTATGTTTAGCAATAAGCATTTTTATCATCAAATGAGAGAATATGGTTTCATGATGATTTTTGTTTTTGTAAATTAAGAAATATTCTTTCATTTTGTGATAAATGCTCTTAAGACCGCAGTAAAATTAACAGTAATTTGGATTATTATTTTATATCTCATATATATCTGTACATCTTGCTACTCTTTATACCTGGTTTTGGACAGCTTTACATTTTGTTCTATTTAAGATATTTTATTTTGTGTTGTCAGCATTATTGAAAAATATAAATCGAAGCTTTTGTGTTGATATCGTTAACAATGACATCCCTAATGCATTTGTTACACACCCAGAGTATTAAACATCATTTTTTAGACAGAAATAAAAAATGATGTTCTGAGTTCTAAAAAGCAAATCTTCATTTTCTGTTTTCTCCTTGCTTTTTTCGAATTTATGCTTACAACCATCAAAATTACCTTCATTTAATCGTTGTGATTACCAAAATTTACCTGGTTTATGATTTGGTTTGAGTATTTTATACTTATTTTTGCTTTTTGTACATGCATTTGATTGTGTCCCAGCACTTACTGTGTTATGACTTTGGTTACACATTTTCCAACCGCTTGGTTGAAATGCAATGGGGATATTGCAAACAAGAGAAAAAATCACGATTTAAAAAAATTCAACTTGAAATTATCGTGATTATTTCTCAGTGAATATGCTTTATATTTATTGTGTTAAATCCTTCATATACCAAAACAAGATCGATATGAATTGTAACGAGGCTTGTGATGTTTCATTACTGAGTAATTGTTTTGTTGTTTGAAGGCTTTGTTGTATCTACCCAGTATTTATCATTGTTTGGTGTGGGGCTTGTGGTTTTGGCTGTGCTCTAATCATTGTTTCTTTCTTCAGACATGTTCTAACATGTCTGTGTGCTTACAGCAAGCATGACGCACAGTCGACGTGGACGCCGCCCTGCAGAGGACACCACTAGAGGGCCAAATACCCCCAGGGGGTCAGGAGGGTGGGGGCAGGACACAGGGGGCATGCAGCAGGAGATACAGGGACTACAAGGTGGCATGATTGAAATGTCGGACAGTACCAGTTCTGTTGGGTCTTCTAATGAACCCATACAAAACATGCCCCCTTCTCAGCAACCACTACCCCACATGGACAATTATGGACCTGGGCCAGGGGACCCGTACCCTCACTATGGTCATCCGCAAGGCCACAATATGATGCCTGACGTCCCCCACTCAGCCATGTCACTATCAGCGTCGACCATCACTACTCAATCAGCGTCCTAGACATTGTACATTAAGAGGATATTTTTATTACAATTGTGTATAGAACTTGTCTATAGTAAGGGAATAAGTAGAACAGTGTGTGTTTAATATTATGTTCCATTGTTCAACTGACAAACAGTATGCAAATTGATATAGAATTTTACGTAATTTGGCATAATTTTTATCAGTTGGCATATATTATATCAAATGGCATATATTGCATCAACTGGCATACAGTTTTGTTTATATGTAACATTCACAGTTGGTTTGTCGAAGCTTTTCACTGTTTGTCATTCTATAGTAACATTTTACAAGGTCGGACCATTAGTTTTGAGGGCATTCCTCGGAATGTATATTATTTGAGCCTATCTACCAAGTCTTCACTTCTCGCTTTGTAATGAATATAACCAACTACAAAAACATGCATTAGCCTATTTGTATTAATACAGTCTTAGATGTACCAGGTTGAAAATTTATACAACATGTGAAATGTACATTTGTCAACTTTAATACCGACTGTGAATGTAAAAATGCTCATTTAAAGTAGCTATTGTGTCAACTATTGGTTGCTGTAGAATTTGGTATTAAGTCCTTCAGCATTTCTATTTTACTTGATTATTGTGTACTGGTAAAGATGCAGTGTTTTCTGTGTTATTAAGTGAATGTTGCAATGTTCTCATTTTTTTGTCAAATTACTTGGAGATAATATGTTATTTGTTGATTCTTGAACCGTAGCTGGTTTATTCTACAAAACCATAAGATTTACTTAATTTCCTGGTACCATGTTACATTCACATATACCATAACCATGGTAACAATAAAACAGCAAAATGGGGAATAATTATAGAAATGAAAGCATTGAATGCAATGAAATAAACACTCAATTGATGGCTTAGTAACACGGCACTAGGAAGTTATTCAAATCTAGAATATGATCATGGCAATATCAATGTTGACATTTTGACGTGTAAATTATATGCAAATCATGACCCATGGCCAATGCGTCATATAAATTCAGATCGTAACCAATCATAATTGAGATCAGGACATTTGATGTTCACAGATTTATGTATAGTAATGTACCAAAATTGTGGTATACTGGTTTGCCTTGATGGTAAATGCTGTAAAGTGATGTATAATATATTGGTACAGTTTTGTAAAGCAGATAAATATTTTACATTATAAAGATATAAGTAATCTCAGTTCAGAACAGCAGAGGAAGATTATGCGCCATCTATCCGCATGTTTACAACGCATAATTTAAGACTCTGTTTATAGATAGATGGCACTCTAATTGTGAAAACCAATCACATTCTATTATATTCAAATTGATCACATATCATTGAGAAATCCAAAATGTTATCTTTTTTAGTTAGTAAAATCATTTTTGAAATTGGTTGGGTTTCCCTATTAGAGATGCCATAGAAGTTTGAAACATTATCCGTGCCTGGACCATTTGTGCATTTTTCAAGATTTAACAAAATCTTACATTTTAGAGCAAATCATGGTTCGTGTGTAAGGTATAGATTGTAAAATAATGCAATATTATATTGAGAGGCTTATAAAAGGCCTCTATTTTTCACAATGATTTATTGTAGTAGAGGTTGGGTGATAGAAGTATTAAGAAAGTGGAGCCCTTGAGTAGAATACAGTGGAGTCTGTCCAGGAGATCAGAAAATGTCCATACAGTGTCAGTTTATTCATGCTCATTGATACAAAATCATTTTGAATTTTTGGATTTATTCATTTCGTGGATTTATAAGTATGAATACACATTTCAATGCTCTCAATGTGCTTCATTTTGAAAATGTATTCATTGTGATAATTAAAAGTGTCTGTGTATATGGTCATTGTATGCACTTATGCATGGATATTGTTCATTTATGAGCAAATGGTGTAACCAGCCATAACATACAATGTCCATTCATTGGTGAATTTTACAGTACTCTTTATGATGTCCTTGATCCAGGATAAGACTATTGTTTAATAATTCAAACTATTCATCCTTATTTCTGTTTGGATGTTTCACCACATGTTCAATAAATCTGAATTTGGCATCATCTGCATTAGTGTTTTCCTGACTAGCTTCTGATTATTAACTTTACCTCTCTCCAGCAGGGGGCAGCATCACAGTGGCCAATGTTATTTTTCTGCTCTCTGTGAATTTAGGTCATTGTCATATTTGGTATAAAGTGGAAATCATGGTCATTGTGAGGTTACATTGAGGGGGGTTTATTGTATTATAGCACATCATTATCAGATCAAATGTTCTTTGATAGAATCATCACAAATCTCATCCTCAACATATTTAATCCTTATTTTCATCTAATTTATTATTTTAAAAGCTACCTAAATTATATATTCATATAGTATCGGAATTACGTTTTAGCTTGTGGAAATATATTCAAATGAATCTTAACATAACATATAGCTTTTTAAGCAGAGAGTGGTTGTATATTTCACAGAAATGAGGATTAAATATAAATATAGAGAAATCATGCATCAATTGTACATATATTTTATATTGAGCAAACATCAGTATCTGAGAATAAGTAACTGAGAGGAATAAGGACTGTCCTGTAGAGACATCTATAGCGTAAAATCAACATTTCAGTGTGTGGCAAATTCCACCAGTGATCAACTTACAATACCTGATAAGTAATCTTGATAAAATATTCAATCTTTATTCTGGATTAAATTGACTGGAGTTCTGTATATCCTGTATTTCAAAATCGCAGACATCTGTCAGATCATCACCATTTCTATGGATAGATCACAACTGTTTTAAATACTTTTACTGTACTTCATATTATATTATTTGACTTCTTTGAACTAGTTAGACATCAAGCTGATTTGTTGCATGCACTTAATGAATTTATTCTAAATATTGCACTACATTGCGTCTGCTGAGGGAAAATGTACTGTATACATGTATATGTCCTGTACTGCCACAATCTTTCTTATTCAATATAAAACCTACTGTATACTGTCTCTGTGTATATAGCATTTATTTAGAAAAATAAATGTGCCATTTTTAAGGAGAAAAGTAATTTAATGTGTTTTGTTTGTATAATTCATTATTTGCAATTATCTAGAGGCCAATAGACATTAATGGGGCACAGTGGTACCTCCATAGAAGCCTACACTAATGGGGCACAGTGTTACCTCCATAGGAACACATTATGGGATACAGTGGCTAGATCCCAGTCATTGGTTCACACTAAGTGTCTTAAAGGGTGAAGCATATTGTTTAGCAAATCGAACGCTCGTTTCTGGTGTTGCTCACCGTTTAGTATAAAAGGCCCAATCCTGGAATAATACTCAGAAGTTTCAGGATCTTCTGGTTGTGTATAATAAGGAAAATTGACATCTAGATTTCCCCCTAACGTATTAGTAGTAGTACACAGTTTAGCATATGAAATATCCTCCAATTGAAATAAAGCAGTTCTAATACAAGGATTTATATTGGCTGTTGTACATGCATTCTTTGAACAATCACTCTCTCAATAATGGTTCCAGAATCATTATAAATGGATTACTTTATCTCCAAGACAATTTCAATGAACTGGATTTTACAAAACTCCCCTTATTTCTTAAAAATGGACTGATCCAGTTGACTCGCCTGGAGCTGCCATATTGTTTTTTATACGGGAAGCTTATCGGAACCCTTTAAGGTTTCATCTCAAATCAATATTGATAACATATATTTTGGACATATGCAACTTAAAATCACCAGTGTCACAGATGAGCTGAGATCAAGACATTAAAAAGAGTGAAAGAATATAATATTAAGAAGTAAATACCACCACCTACAAATGATTACAAAAGTGTAACAATAATTACAGATGAAGGTCAAATTAGAAATTTAGTCAGATTTGAACTTTTACTTCTGAGAACTTGTAGATGATTTTGAAAAAAAATTGGTCAATTTGAAGCAAGTTAAAAATATACCATTTTTGATTTTCAATGTGTAACCATCATCTACCATGGTAACCTGGTAACAGATATTGGCACAAACATTAAAATAATGAACTCACTCTAAACAGTAATTGTTAAATTATTGGAAGTTGTAAAAGTGTGTAACAGACATCGACTGCCAACCCCCAAAAACAAAAAAGTTGGAGACTAATATGTAACAATAGAAATAAAAAGACAATCCAACACAAAACAACTAGATTGTTAAATTATTGGAAGTTGTAAAAGTTTGTAACAGACCCCGACTGCCAACCCCCAAAAACAAAAAAGTTGGAAACTAAATAGTAACAATAGAAATAAAAAGACAATCCAACACAAAGCAACTAGATCCACAATTCTTTTGTCTTTAATATCAGGCCTCAATTTACCGGTATGTTTTAATAAGATAATGAATATTTTCCGAAAATGTAAGAACCTAACCATCAAGACCTCAGAGGTTAGAGGCTCTAAATAGGTGTCATGGATGGATAGAGGACAGTTTATGCACAACATAATATAAATCTCATAGGCTTCGGTCAATAGAAATAATTTTAAAATAAAGATGGCATGGTAATCGATCTGTGTTTATTTATAATTCTCAAATTAAGATTCCTCTAAAATAATACTGGATTCTGTCGGTGCTACCATCTTTATATCGGCCCAAACCCTATGGTAAATCTGATTGATCAGGTGGATGGCACCAAACCTTTATCTACTTTACATCAAGATTGATTTTAAGAGTACATCCCTGAAACAAGGTAAACCTTTATGTTCCAGAACATTGTAGCAAGTAGGTTAAGTATTTTATTGTCGAGGTTTTTCTGGAGGGATATCCTCATTTTATTCCATGATAACATGTTTTTCCTTGGAAATGAAAAGAGAATAGAATTGATATTCAAAAAATCAGATCTAATAGGGAGTGACAAAATTGCAAGCAATATGTAAAATTAAACTCAGATGCGAGTAGGTAGTTACCAGTTTCACCACCAGGTGGCTCATTCGGGGTAGATAGCATGGCGGCTATAGTAGAACTAAACATTTAATTGATTTTAGTGGTTCAATGTTCATATCACCCTTATGTATCTAATACTTATACAAATTAAAATATATCCAGTAAAAGAAAATGTTAACTGTCCAATACAAGAAAAGATATTTCACTTTTTGTGATTTTGTAACATGTGGTCTATGGGGAACAACCCGAACAAGAAGTCACATTTTCAAAAAAAAATTAAATTTTCAAAGTTGATAAACAATATTTCTAGATGTACGTTTGCAGGTAGATTTCAAATATGACATCACTTTGACTGAATTATGAATATTTGATGGCGTAAATCAAGATTATTTATACTCTCGTCATACCATCGATGTATTGCTGACAAGCTCAAATATGATCATATAAGATCAGAGATATGTTGTGAAGTTATTTAAAGGGGCAACAAGGACTGTACGTAGAGAGAAAATTCGGAAAGCTATTAGGTCAATTTCTTCTTTGACATACCTATTTTCTTAAAATGTATAACATACCCCTGCACTAATTGTTGCACCTTAAAGATTCAAAGTGCAAAAATGGGGGAAACTATTTAAATCCTCAAAAATAATAATGGTATCATCCTTATAGACAAATGATAGTATTATTGTAAATATGTTTAGTTTTTCTCAAATAAAGTATATACTTGGGGTACTATTAGAAAAAAAAAATGGCATGGAATGATATGAGTCGAAAATATTCTAACATTGAAACAATTTCCGTTAAAAGATGAAACACAAAATTCATCAAGTTAATTACCAGATCTGCCTCTGCCTTTAACTGCTCCTAAAATTTAAGCACATTATGTTACTGGTCAAAATTCATAAACCTTAAACTCTTTCGTAAGTAATGGGTGGCCCTGAAAAGGGCCTTTGGGTTTGTGGTGGTTGAAATCTAGTGTTTATTTCTTGGCTGGTTTCTTTGCAGCTGCCTTCTTCTTGGGAGATTTCTTTGCAGCTGGCTTCTTTGGCTTGGCTGCCTTTTTGGTTGGAGTCTTCTTCACTGCCTTCTTGGCTGCTGGTTTCTTGGCAGCCTTCTTGGGTGATTTAGGTTTCTTAGTTGCCTTCTTTGGGGTCTTGACTTTCTTCTCTTTCTTGGCCACTGGTTTCTTTGCCTTGGGTTTCTTGGCAGCTGGTTTTTTCTTCACTACCTTGACCTTCTTTGGCTTCTCAACCTTGCCAATTTTGAAGGAGCCAGATGCGCCAGTTCCTTTCGTTTGCTTGAGAGCACCATTCTTCACACCAGCACGAAGAGCCATCTTCAAGTGAGAGTTGACGGATGCATCACCACCAAGGTCCTTGAAGTTAGACTGGATGTATTTCAGGATGGCAACTCGGCTGGATCCTGTACGATCTTTTAGTGAAGTGATGGCTTGTTGGATCATCTCGCTGTATTTAGGATGATTGGCTGGCTTCTTTGGCTTTGTTGCCTTCTTTGCTGCTGTGTCGGCCATTGTAAAAGTTGCTGTGGGTTGTAGAACGTCTACGAATAACTTTAGTCAGATGAAACTGAACGAATGAAACGTTGACGAATTTGTTATTCATTTATACAAATCGCGCGGACGTTAGAGAACGAACTTCCGGTTTTTACTGAATAAGAATCAAAATGTCCGATGTGATTTCCAAAGTGTGCTTGTCGATATTTTTCAAATATTATTTTCTATACTAACTTGCCTAAATATATTTAATACATTGAACTATATTGAAAGCTATAATACTATATTTTATCACAACATAACACTTAATGCACTGCATCGATTGCTTAATACGAATTTTACTGTTTGAATGTCATTTGTGGATTAAAAATCTTCGAAATTCTACCATCAAAAGTGTTTATCGTAACGAAATTGACAGAAGGACATTAATTTTCATTTATAAAAAATAAATTTAACATATATTCTATCAGATTAAGTCAAATTCACAAACCGTATGTTTAAAATACGGGTCGAAATTAACTATTGAATTTGAGTAACAAACACACTTTATTTCGATCGGCGGCCATATTGGTCTAACAAAGATCGTAAAAATCCAGAACGTTTTCCCGTTCAATGCGATCAAATCACATTAATTAACACGACAAACATATAATAAAACAATAGAAATATATCAAAGGTTTAAAGAACTGTTTGAAATTCTAGACTACTATTTAGGGAAACGTACAAAATACGAGACAACTTTTTTCTTCATTGAAATACACAATGGGAAATCTAGGTCAAAATAAAGGATGTGAGAATAAGTTAACTGTTTGAGACAATTACTGATAATACCAATTCACATCGTCTATTTTGAAATTTGACTGATTCATCATAACAATGTGATGCATTATAAAACATTCTAATGATTTTCAATCAAAATTTCCTTGCAATTCTGGTATGTTGGCTAGTGATTGCGTTTTAATATTTGGTTGTGCTAAATTACATGTCACTTGATAGAATTAAAAAAAACAAGTGTACGAGAGCTGACTATTTTTTGAATGATTTTTGGTCAAATTTGCCAAAGTGAACCCCCCCCCCCCCCTAGAATTTTTTGGAAAAGTGAACACCCCTTGGAAAATTCTGGCTACGGGCCTGGAGAGTGTAATAATTACACCTCTCCCAATATGTAGACATCGATTTGCAATAGCTTACCAATGTACATTTAGTTAAAATTAAATCAACTGATACAATGATTGATGGTTGCGAACTTACTAACACCCCCCCCCCACAAAAAAAATTTAAAAAAATTATCAACGCACCCAGCACCACCAAATATTATATTTTTATGTAAAGAGAGAATCAGATACAGCAAGCAGGCTACACAAAAATTGTTTTCATTTTAGAATATTTTGGCTCACGTCATTCATTGTCATGTCTATTTTCTAAACATCACAAAAGTGCCCGTACTTTATTCCAGGAAAACTAAAGCTTTTTACAGTAATGTACTATTTTTCTATAAGAATGGTTACCATTCTTATTATTTGGGAGAATTAAACATTTTTCACTCATTTTGCACTTTGAATCATTACTAACTTCACCAATTTATAACATATTGTGAATCTTTTGGGTGATTTTGTATTTGATATTGTAAGGAATTAATATTGTAAGGGATTAATAGTTCAATTATACATGTTACTTGTAATTTTGTCACCCCCTATACGTAGATCAGATTCTGCCTTTATAACCTTAGCTAGTAGTAAAAATGTTTGCTCAATCTTAAAACAATAATTCGTATTGACGCGCGCAGACTGGAATAAATGTTAAGAATGTATCCGTTTTGCTATTCCAGACCATTATTTTCAGCTAAGTTATTCTTGTCTCGAGGGGGGGTCACTGCGAGCGAAGCGAGCTTCAAAAGGGGGAGGGGGTTCACCTTTGCCGTACCATCCATCGCATATGGTGCTTTTTGAACACTGTTAATTTTTTGTGACACCCTGGCACTACAACTTTTATAAGATATGTCACGGGTGGGGGGGGGGGTTCACAGAGGCTTGAGGCTAGACTAACTGATGCATGATGCTTTCGAGGGTATTTTTCGGGGATATCATGAATTTTACATGCCGCCACCTCCTTCATAATAAAACCTGTATTTTGACTGTGATAACTATAGTGTTTAAAATTATGTACCATTATGTTATGAAATACAATGATTGCATTATATTTCTATAGTATATGTTATACTATTTGAAGTGTCTCAGATGAAGTTGTTTGTCAGTACTCTATATCAAAAGTCTTCATCAGATCAATCAAACGAACCAAATTGTCATTTGCAACTCAGGCACGTACATGTACCTGTTTTTGTTTAACAGCTCCAATAATGTCTGAGTGTCGCATGGATGTAAAAGTTAATTTGGTCTCATGGGAATTTAGGTTCGCAGAAGTTTATTTCAAATCATACTGAAGTACGAAATAATAAATAAATAAATACAATATATAATAGGTTAGTTATCCTCATTTATAGTTGTGGTTCGACATATAGACAATCGTCCCCCTGATACGACTTCTGTGGCTTGTTTCCCTCATTCGTAAATGCCTGCTCTTTCAAGAACTCCAAAACTTCATCATTGTATTTCTCGTAGAATTCACTGGGGTTTCTTGTCAGGACAAACAGCGCAAAACGGAGTGGGTCGGAGCTAACAGCGTATTGGTACTGACCATTTATGACAGGTCCAAGCTTTAAGATCCAGACTGGAAAAATTATTCAAATGCCTAGTTATATACGTAGATAGTTTAGCGTATTTTTTTCTTGAAATATTATAAAATAACGTCCTTGTTTCCTTCAATGTTTTGATTGGAGAAGTCTAGGCTAATATGCAGGTTTATATCATGAAGTCGCATTACAAGTTCAGAGACCATGGAAATGTTTTAAACGTATATCGACCATATTAGATAGATGGTTATAAGTAAACTAAGGGTTGATGTATATTCAGCTAGATACGTGAAAATAGTAAAACTACGGTGACCTACATTTTTTATAGTTTTAATTTTCATACATATTTAGTGGATATACTTATTTACAAATATAACGCCTCCAATCAAAAAGGAAAAGAGAAATTGGCAACTCCACTGACATGACGAAGTAGCAATTCCCAACCAACAAAATATTCTTGAAGCTGTCGATCATAATATATAATATTTATCATCTATGCTGCCCTTGATATTGGGCTATATCAGTACTTTTGGCTTACTATTTAGGAGTATCAAAGGCACGAAGCATAGAGATCAATGCAATGCAATATTTGTGATATATTTGCGAAGTAACTAATACTCTGAAGATATCTATAAATTATAGCGAATTCACGCAATAGACAGCCATTTTGAATTTTCTGAAGCATGAATCAGAAAAACTTTACCATATATAATTGTGATCTACTCTAAAATTCCTTCAATTTGAGTATAATTTTGTCATACTTTAAAGAGATTCGGAAATTGTAAAACCAATCGCAATCTACTTTAAATTGCTTTTCATTTCAGTGTAATAAAGCTATTCTTCAGAAAGATCTCAAAATTAATGAAAATTCTTGATAGTATTTGAATTCGGAGCATCATTCAGAATGATGCTCCGGACAGACGGACAGACGGACAGAGGACCTCGTTATCCTCAACGAATCCATTCGTTGGGACAATTATGATTTAAAATGTAGATCGTATAAGGAATATTATACTACTCACATGGTGATGGATTTAATCTTCCATTGTTAAGCTTGATCCAAAGTTTTCCCTCGCTCTCAGACTTGTAGCCGAAACCCTCAATCTGACCTAGGGGCCCAGTAGGTGACCTCCGACGATTGGAATTACGTACTGTGATCGTCGTAGCATTCACGAGCGTGTAGTCAGCGTGGACACAGAAGGCATCCTTCAGAAATCGGGCCTCCATGTTCTTGTTGGAGTACGCTTGGTACCATCTTCCCAAGTATTTTTCAATGTCTACCTTATCAACTGTCTTTGGGGCCTGGTCGAAGATATCATCAGCCAGAAATCCAAGGCAAAACGTTGGTAGTACAACAAGTAGAGCCATGCCCATCATTTTGTGCATCATCTTATTGCAGGCTACTGTTAGTTTAAGGAGAGATCGTGTTGTGGTGACCGTCGAGGGTAAGAATTCTGTCAGACATAACCAACTCACCGTATTTATACTGAAAGGACACTCTGATGCACATGTTTATGCACGTTGTACCATTTCGTCACGATGTGAAAAACTAGAACGTATGACATAATTTGTAATCAGATAACTATGTCGAGATAACAGGGAGATAAATGTGAACGCACAAATACTTTTACAAAGGGCTTTCAAAGTACATACACTCCCTTCTAAAAGTTTGGGAATCGAAAGTCCCTTCCTATGACGTACTATAAAGCTTATTTAGCGAGGGAGGAGGGGGGGGGGGGGTCAACAGATCCATGTCATAAAAAATTACACAGAATGGATTACACTAACAAGGTATATCATAGATACCACAACGGTATCTCATATTTGAATGTCGTGGGGTAAAAAGCTTAATTTACAATTCGGAATTGAATAAGGTTCATTCCTCGTGATATGATATTTTCCTCTGGCCCTCGAGAAATATCATATTGTTTCTCGGAATAAAACCCGTATTCAATCCCTTTCAGTAAATAACCGCTATATATCCAGAGCTCGGTGGGTGGGTGCGACGTTATGCAACGATTGCACCCACCAGGGGCGGATCTGGCAACCAACAAGGAGGGGGGGGGGCCAAAGTTGTGGTTTGAGAAAAAAAATCTGAAGAAAATTTTTGGGGCTTAGAAGGCCAATTTATGACCAAAAAGGCCCACTTTTCATGGCCTTAAGGCCTTATTTGGCTCAAATTTTTTGGGCCCAATTTTTTTTCTTGGCCCACCCAAGGGATCCGCCAGTGCCCACCCCCGATATCATGAGTACGATGAGAAAAATTGAAAGCCAATGATATTTTTGTGAAGTTACTTTTGATCCTTGATGGATTTGGTTATTTTATTTGATATAACGAACCATCTCAGTTAAAAAAAAATAATTGTTCGATTTTCATGGTATTTGTATCACCTAGAGAGAACAAATCTGACGATCACACCAGGGGATGTATTCGCTTGATTGTTTGAAACTTTTGAATTTCCCGGGAAAACTTTACACTGAGATGTTTGGTCACATGACAAATCTGGCGGGAAAATTACATGGACCTTTAAACTTGAATCATGCCCTCCGATTATGAGAAACTACGTCTACAAAACATTGCGGATAACAAGAAAATCCTAGCACAACTTGGTTTATTGAATCCCGTGAGTATAAATCTTTATTATTCTGAGACATTTAACTGCCATTTACGGCAGGAATAATAGAAATGATGTATAAACCCTATTATCGCCCACCAAAAATTCAAATTTTTTAGTTCCCAAGGACACAGGTAGGGATCAGATCGCACCTTCGCGTCCATACCGCTGTTTTCCGTACAGGTTGCCGCTCCTTCGAGTAGATAATCGACAGAATTTACGAATACAAAGGCTCTATCTTTTAATTCAGTCAACCTAGCCCTTTCTTCATAGTATATTCAGTTAGAGGAATGTGTTTCATATCATCTACGTTTTTAAGGGTACTTACATATGTCTAGGTTGCTCGTAGGACAGCACACAAATTACCCCCTGACATCCACCATTTCAGTTAAGTACGTTTTTCTTGGATTTGGGGTCATTTTTGTTCCTTCACACCTCGTCCAACGTAAAATTTGATTGATTTTACTGTTTAAATGGCTAAATGTATAAGAATATATACCTGTTATACCAGCATTGTTTCGACTTTACAGTTTCTGTCAAATTCCGCCGTTTTCGTTTTTGGATTACGCACCTTAATCGTATTTTGGTTTCAGTTAGGTAGAACTCTCCTTTTATTCAGATTAATGTTAAATTGGCAAAGTTCAGATCACAGAGAACTATTTACACGTGATTTGTGTCGTTTTAGAGTTCTTTCAAAAACGATACAAACGATACAAATCATAGTCTATGTAAATAGATTAGAATTTCTCAAATCGCAGCCCATCGATTTTTAAAGAATTGCAATAAAATACACCAGAACTTCTCACCTTTATGTCGTAAACATTTAAACAAAGAGGCCACGAAAATCAAAACCTCTGCTGTCCTGGTTGGTTAAAGTGCAAAAACGTCGTCACATTTATGTTAATGAGCCAAATTACCGGGGCCCACAAACAATTGTGTGCCCAAAATTTTTGCAGTGGGCCTTTTTAGGTCAAATTATCAAAAATGGGCATTCAAAGTTTTTGGATTTGAAATGTACACCCCCCCTTGTTAACTTCTGGATTCGCCAGTGGTTATGATCACAAATCTATAAGTTATTCTTTACTCTCTCTCGCGAATAGGCCTACGGGCGTTTATTTTGCACAGGGCGTTTATTTGAAAGAATTTTTAATAAACGCCCATGGGCCTATATTAAGAGGGAGAAAACAATTTTCCAAGGAGGATAGGCGTTTATTTAGAGGAATAGCTAGGGGGATATTATCAATTGTATAGTTGACACATGGCCTTCATACTCACGCACTAGTATGATCACGAACGTGGGCAAAAACGTTGACCAATATGTGACCTCATTTTTATTAATCATTTGTACTTGAACGACATTAATCACGTATTACCTTACATATGTACTATTCGCAATTTCATCCCTTTTCTCGAATGTTTTGCCAACTGGGCATTTATTTGAAATAATTTTTAATAAACAAATTTATATTGGAAAGTTAATCCAATAGCCAGCCAATTTACCTTGAAGGTGTGAAATATATGAATAGCATCGTGAATAGCCCTATTAAGATAGGCTAGGCTAATTCTGTTAAAACTATACTCATATTAATCACGTATTATTTTGGTAAATAAATGTCATATTCATAAAAATTATAAATTGTTAAATTAAAAGTGTTTAGCATAAACTTCTCTAGATAAAACCAATATGATTTAATCTTTTAGAATTAATTCACCTAACTTTTTTACAATCAATAAATTCAGAAAATTACTTAACATTTCCGATTTATATCTAGTTTCTAATTTATCCCTAATTCTTTCAAAATTCATCAATATCATAATGAAAGGTACATCTAATTGTTTTTATAGATATTTAAATATGGTGGGGTCGAGTTGACTAAGGGTTGAGTTGACTTGGGGTCGAGTTGACTAAGGGTTGACTTGACTTGGGGTCGAGTTGACTAAGGGTTGACTTGACTTGGGTTGAGTTGACTTGGGGTTGAGTTGACCAGTTACCTTTTTAAAGAGGGAAAAACCTTTCATACACCCCACTTTCAAATAAACGCCCATGGGCCTATTCGCGAGAAACTAACATCGTATGTGTACAAAATAGAGAATTCCTTCCCAATATAGTGCTATTCCACACCATTGAAAAAACAGTTATTTACAAACCTGGCTGCTCTTCTCTGCTCCTGTTCCAACATATCAATATTTTTGCCGGTATGGATCCCATGCAGAACTGGCATATTCTGCAGGACAAGTGTCTTATATGCCTGAGCCTTCACTTTTTAAGGCCATTGATGGAGGTTGCGTCTGAGGAACCAAAGCACTTTATTGGCTTTGGATAGTTTGAATATGTGTAGTCAAGCGTAAATTATTTGTGATGTCAATACATATATGTAGGTATGGGATGTGTGTTACTGACTTTAGGTTTTCCCCTAGAATGGTGTAGATGTGAATGGTAGGAGATTTACCTTTGTGAATATTCAGCACATAACATTTTGATGGATGGATTTGTACTTATGCCAAATATTTACGAAATCACGAGCCGATCTTTGATCTCAGTTTTCTAATCACAGGCCAGCAAACAGTTAGTTTTACTGAACGATAATAAGAGTTATACCAGCCTTAGCCTTTTTGCATACAGTTATTCTACTTAATTTGGCGCTATTTAATTTGGCGAAATAGGCGGAGATTTATTTTGGCGAATTTAGCAAGTCTAAATACCTTTGGAATTGAATAAGCCCTACTTACCAACTGAATGCTTATTGCGACTTTCTAACATCAAAAATGCTCCAATTTATTGGATAAATCAGATCTTGAACTGCGAAACACCATTTTCCCAAACAGAAATAACACTGGGCGAAATTTCCCGGGAATTTCAGAAAAATTGGACAAGACATGAATTGATTTTTTTGCAAATCGCCAAATTAAAACGGCCGTCGAATTAAGTAGAATAACAGTAATCAAATTTAAATCGAACAGACAGAATAACAATAAATCTCTTATTCTTGGTATATAATAGAGAGGATGTAGTTCAGTACAACTATCCAAGGATCTCTCTGTTCCCGGGCCTGTGCACATTACCAGATAACTGGATTTAAAAAAAAATCCGACCTTGACTTGGATCTGCAACGCCGAGTGCTGTTCAAAAAGCTGGATTTTTAAAAGAATGTCAAAAAATGCAAGCTGCGTTAGGTTCGATATTTATAATCCGATAGGAAAGAAATGATGCCAGCAGATGAACTGGAATCAATATTCAATGTACGTACAGTACACCTACTAATAAGGTGTGGAACTGTTACAAAGAAACAGTGGAGCTTCGTGTCAAATTGTGTTGATCGTCAAATGGGATGGAATATTATATGAACGAACAAAAGGATATTATCTTTAACATTCATGACACAATTCCAATTATATGTGGTAGCTGGGGGAACTAATACAAACACGAGTTTTACCAAAACAACTGGCCACGAGAGATTTTCGAATGATAATTCCCGACTGTGCGCCCGTTTATGAAGAAACTTGAGGTAAGCTGGCGTGGGACATGGGTGAAAATGGTAGATAAATATGTGATTCAACTTATTAGACCATAAACAGATCGGATAATTATTGTGAATTACGATTTAGATGCAGTTCTATGACCTACCTGTCCGTGATTTCTACTCGAAGCGGCGGTATTTCTACTCGAAGGCGCGGTAACCTCTACGGAAAACGGCGGTATGAACGGGAAGGGGCGAATTTGATCCCTACCTGTGAAGGAGATTCTGACTGAATTGGCTCCCAGGGTTCCTTTCCGATTCTCTAACGAACCCAGCGTTGAATGGTCTGTTCTAACACACCCCTCAATATGATCAGCCAATCAACAGGGTTTGATTTATTTTTGGTGATCTGGTTCTCATTACCCCCGTAAAGGCAATAGTATGTAGAGGACATAGTAGTATGTATCCAACAGACTGACTAGAAGTCAGTCTGTTATGATGTACTACTTTCCTGTGGAAATTGCAGTGAAATTTTTTGCACAAAATTATCAATTGGAGGAAACATTTTTCCAATAAAATAAACATTACAAAATTTCAATTAAATAGTAAGGTACAATAAAATGCAATAAAAAGTAACGCAGTATATTGTCTAGTGGAAATAAAGCTAGTTGAAGTAAAAATGTGCAAATTAATTTTACCCAATCGGCCATTTTGAATGGCACTTCCTATGTAAACAAATATTTAGAATTACCAAACTTTAACATAGGTGCCTTATAGTCTGAATATAATTCAGACTAAATAGGATATAGTCTAGAGGACATAGGGGTAATCTCGGACACGGGGCATTGTTGGACGATCTTCAATAATTCTTTGTTTTATATGGTTTCTTTATTGAAACTTTGTATTAGACACATCATATTATAAATATGGTGCTATATATTGTAAAAATTCTAACTTTGTCCCAGATTTTCACCTGATAGGGGAAGTGGTCCTAATTATCGCACGATTGTCAAAAATAGCTAAAATATGCACCCACCATCTTTTAAACCAGTGTTACGAAAAACAGTTCAACACCATTACTCCCAATCTTCATGATTTATTCATATATTTAGAAATATCTCTTCATTTTTTAAGAATTGTTAACTTCTGCCATTGTCATAAATGCTTTTGCGCAAGAAGTGAAATTCGTCTGACAAATTTTGACCCCCTCCAAATAAAGACAGAAAAGTAACTGTATAATGTATATTTTGTTGATATTTTACACTAAAACTGATAGAAAAATGATTACAACATATGTATGTATCTGTTATAAACAGAGAAATGTATACAGTATCGTGAAATGACATCTGAAACATAACTGTGCGATAATTAGGACGACTGTGTGATAATTAGGACCACCGCACATGCGAGTCTAAGGGGTCTTAAAGTGTTAGCGTTCAGAGATTGAGAAATGTCAAACACTACTTAGATTTTAGAGGAAAGGTTGATCTTTCGTCTCATATTCTCAAAGTAAGTTGAAGTTATCATATTTAAAATCGTCAGTAGTTTCCCTGAGTACCCGTGCGATGATAGGACGACTTCCCCTACCAAGGGTTTGTCCGGGAATGCCCCGTGGCCGAGAATGCCCCTATCTCCTCTATCCAACAGACCGAATATAATATTCAGACGAAGGATACAGTCTAGTAAAGGCAAGGAGGATTGGCTCGCAGGATCGAAACCCCTTATTTTCCAACAATGAAAATGTTGAAATGTCAATATTTTTTTACATTAAAACTGACTATAAGTTCTAAATAAACACTTCTTAAGATTACTTCTGAACCCGGGGGGTTCACTGTATATAAAACTCGACAGGGGTCCTAGGCTGAAGCCTCAAATATCAATATGTTCCCATACCAATCTGTCAAATTTCAATATGATCCCATACCAACCAAAATAACGCCCAAAGGCCATACCAAATGTCCAAATATAGGACCAATGCCATACCAAATGCCCAATTATGGGACCAATGCCATACCAAATGTCAAAATGTAGGACCAATGCCATACCATATAAAATTCAAAAGTGAAGAAGGCCCTGGAAAAGAAGATACTTCGGGAAACGATCCAAAACAACTTCAAATTTGCAACTACTGGACCAATGCCATACCACGAATGTTAGGTAACGTATCTACAACGACCATTCTCATACCAGAAGAGCAAAAGTCCGACCATTGCCATACCTCAGAAGTCAGAAATTTCCGGGCATTCCCATACCAAATCCTAAAATATGGGTCCATTGCCATACCAAACGTTGAAAAAGGTACCCCAGATGCGCCGAGGATCCCCATCAAGGTTTATATATAGTGAACCCCCCGGGCTTCCGAATGGTGTCATTGTTTTATTTAGCGTCCGGGTGTACAAACAAATTTGCGATATTAGTTTGATTTAGAATTTTCAGGTCACACAAATAGCTATGCACAATGCATTGTGGGAAAATAATGACCAATCAAATATAGTCCTTTTTGAGTATATATTTGCACCATATTTGCGAAGGTTCCGATTCAAAGAGCGAAATGGACAATTTTGCGAAAACAATTGGTGAAAATCGCCTGTTGCCTGCAGCTTATGAAACCCCTGCTATATCTTCTTGTCTGAAATTTTTTGAAATTTGGAATGAAACTATTCAGACAATAGCCCACATTATGTTAAAATTTGGGATTGAAAAATATTTGTTTACAGTCTGTTACACTGCTTCAAAGGCAAGCAGGTGAACCTGAAAAATAAGAAATCTATAGACCATTGTGCCATAATATATAGAAAAATATATTCATATTGCACATGGATGACATTTGTATATTTCAGATTATTTAGTATTTAGTGCAATAAGCCTGTGCCCTCTTGTAATTTGAGGTCTGTCTGCCATGTCATTTTTTTGAGAATTAACATTGTAAAGAATCTTCAAAATATAAGAGCTAACAGACTTTATGAGCCAATTTACAAGTAATCCAACATATACAAATGTCATTCGTGTGCAATATGAATATATTTTTCTATATCTTATTGCACAATATTATTTAGATTTCTTATATTTCAGGTTTAACTGCTTGCCTTTGAAGCGGTGTAACAGACTATACAGAGGAAGTGCCATTCTCATGGGCTTCCAACAAGTTAAACTAAGAATACACAGCTTTCTTTATTTATCTGAATATAGATTTGATCTTCAATGACATTTTCAAGGTCAGAAAAGATTTGACCTTCTCAAGGTCAAAATGGTATTTTTTCAACTTGCTTCAAATTGACCAATTTTTTTTCAAGTTCTCAGAAGTTCGAATCTGACTTTAGATTTGAGATTTCACCTTCAATGACCTTCTCAGGGTCAAAAAACTTATTTCAAATCAACCATTTTTTCAAAATCATCTACAGAGTTCTCAGAAATTCAAATCTGACTTAAGTTTGAACTAATAATATTGTGAGCAACTAGGTGGTGACATTTTGTCATGTTATGCCTTGTCTTATACATGTTCCCAGGATTATTGTGTTAATTACATTAGATCCCAATTATTATATATCAAACTAAAACTATCTAGTCTGTTGCTAGATCAAGAGTGAAATGGTCCCCATTCCCTATAAACGTAAGTCTTCTTGCTTGAAGGCTGTGTACAACCCCCCCCCCATGTACTTTACCTTTCCAACACAAACACAACTATCAAGTTGCTGACATATTTTCTACATTTGCAGTTCAAACCTTTACCAAGAGTAATCAAGAAGGCCCCAAAGCGGAAGAGGCTCCCATCCCCTCAGAAGCCAGAGAAGAAATTAGCACTAGAGGCTGCAGGAGAAAATTTAGAAAACCTTGGATCTGTCAGGGGAGTATCTAGAAGATCCTGTAGAATACAAGGAAAGGTAGGTTCTGTCTTAGTTTCACTTTAGCACTGTCATATTGCTCACTAGGCTTGAGGAAGGGCACCTCAAAGAAACTTGGCATCGCTCTGAAATGTAAAACATAGCAATAAGCGTATACATTTAGGAAAAAAATCATCTAGTTGATATCCTGACTGAGCACTTTCAAAATTATGCAATGAATTCTGTATGAAAAAGTCTAAATCTGCGGACATCATGATTTAATGAGATTCTCAAATACTCATCTTGCGATGCATAGTTAAAAGTATTGACTGTTTTTTGACCAATCAGAATCAAGGTACTTACTCTATATGTAGTGTGGTATTTCAGGCACCACTGAGTAAAGATGAAATCTCAGCAGCTGTTAAAGAAGAGATTGTTCATGAACCCCCCAGGAAGTGTCCCCCTAAGAGAGAACATGTGTTTGGTCACATCCCTGGTGTGGAGATTGGTACTGTTTGGCAGTTGAGGGTCGACTGTTGCTATGCTGGCGTACACAGGTAGTTATTAATATTAAGGATTTAAGCCCTGGAATTTTGCGCAAGATTGACAGAATCGAGAGTGGAATGAATCAGACACAATGCATTGAATCTTGGGTTTAAATTCTTTTCACACATTGCAAATATTTCCTACAAAATCACCTAAAAGTTTTGCAAGGGTCAAGTTCGCAAAGTATCAATTTTAATCTGTAAAGTCAAGTTGTTACCTTGACAACCATTCAACAAATGACCCTGGGTGGGTTGTTGTTGGTTATATAATGTAATGCAGTCCTGACCCATTTTGTGAATCAATACAACCTTTAAAACCCACTCACATTCATCCAGTATGTAGACTTACACCTGAGTATTGGAGACACCCTTGAGTATTATCCAACATGAAAACAAGAGCCAAAAATATGGGAGTTTTTATGATATGATTTATTCCTTTCTTGCACACCCCAATATGCATTACTAGGTACATGTACTTGGATCATGATGCTCTTGATAGGAACTTTTCTTGTCACTCACAACCATTAGGGACTCAGAATGAGTTAATCCTATCTGTACAGTGAAATTGTAACATGATGTCATAATTAATATGTGCCATGATGTTCTGCCCATGATGTTGATGTTGGGCACCACATACATCTTGTCATCAAAATTCCAGAGAAATTGCTCATCCATTCAATTTGAAATGTTTACACAATATGCAAGAGCAGACTACTGATTAGAGTGCCAATATCTGAATAGGTTTTGAGCATGCTTGTAAATCACGTGACTGTCTTGTTTTAACCTCTTGAATCCCATGCTCTAAAATCGGTTGAAACCAGAGAATTTTTCATTTTTTGCCACCATTTAACATTTTACTACATACCTATATAACTTGAAATGCTCAACTTAGTAAAATTAAACGGCAGAGAACATTTTTACACATTTAAAAAAAAATTTGTTTAAATTGGATGAAAATTATTCAAGTAAGAGCAATTTTAGTGAAAATTTTTGTGACGGATTTTCTCGTCACTCTGGGTTTCAAGGTCATTTCTGAGGTGACGAGAAATCTCGTCACTCCAGGTAGTCAAGAGGTTAAAATATTGTTGCCCCTACTCAGCTTTAACTAAGACACATATTTATTTTGTTTTTAATATATTTCAGACCAACAGTTGCAGGGATCAGTGGTAATCCTCAAGAGGGAGCATACAGTGTTGCGCTTTCAGGTGGTTACGAAGATGACATAGACATGGGGGATTGCTTTACCTTCACAGGTTCAGGAGGACGTGATCTGAAAGGCACCAGTAACAACCCAAAGGTAGATATAGTAGTCCATTTGTCACCCCTATACATCATATAGTGAACCTTTGAATTATGAAAAAAATATAATGTTTTATGGTCAATTTATGATAATAAGGGTTTTCTGAAGTGATTTGGGTGCCAAAAAGGTTTGTTAGGGGAAAAAATTATATAGGCTAATTCAGCAAGGTTGCATTGGCTAACTTGGGGTTGACTATCGACTTAGCATCCGGATACCATCAAGTGTGTCACAATGCATGAATGGGGATACATAAAGTTGCATGTTTAATTTTTCCCCAAGTTGATTTTTTGGCAACCCAGCTAACCAAACTTCACTTCACAAACCCCTAACAATAGTGACTGCACAGTAAAACATTGTGCTTTTAAACATTCATACATTCAAAAAATGAAAAATGGATTTTATTCGTCTCTATGTGTAAATACATACAGTATATGAAGACATTTGAAAAATAACCAAAGGCTAGCAATTATTTTGGTTTGAATTTCACATTTTCAAACTTCATATTTCAGAATTTTCAATATTCAAATTCAAAAATCTTAATAATTAAACTATGTCTGTGTTACTCTTACAGAATCTTCGTACAGCACCCCAATCTAAAGACCAGACACTGGACAGGGTGAACCTTGCACTGTATCAGAATGTTGAGAACAAGAGGCCTGTACGTGTCATCCGTGGCTATAAGTTACATAGCCCATTCGCACCTGAGGAAGGATACAGATATGATGGTGAGCTTAACATTCAACATCTCATATGCAGGGCCTTCAGTAACACGTCCTTAACATTTAGAGGACCTGGGACTGATGAAGGGACTCCAAAAAAAATTTAATGATCTGTTCTCTGGACGCAAAGTCCAGTGTTTTCAGTTACAAAATTGATAGACTCTGTAAAAGATCTTACCTTCAGTCTTTTAATTGGTCAAAAGCCGCTAAATAAACAAAGGATATTCTATTTCTAAATACAATATTTTCTTTTCCGGAAGTTGATTTCCAATTGAAATAGTACAAGGCCTTTGATAGGACAATCACAAGTTGCTACAGTAATCGGTACAAGTCCTATGATTGGCTGCGATTATTAATTGCGCATGCGTCTTAATCATTTTGACTAATCAAATTGCTGGATTTGTTGCGCGTGCGCATAAAATGGAACTAAGAAATGGAAAACCTCCTGGAGATTGCCCCTAGTGCAAATTGATTCGAAATACGAAAAGAAAATGTGTATTAATGGTTGAATATTAGTTATCTCTTTCAAATGAAGGTACCTGTATCATTTAGTGACCTACTAGGCGTTTGTAGAACACTGATTTAGGCTGATAAATAACAAAACTGATTAGAAACTTTTCATCAATTTTTTCGTTCAGTGTAAAAATGTGACTTTGAATTCCTGGGAAACCTTTTTCACGGGATGCACTTTTTTGAGGGGTGACTCACTTTTTGAAAATCAATCCGTCCCAGCGACGCACTCTTGGACAAACATACTGAAAGCACTGCATATGTTTTACAATGAATTCCATGTGTAATTAGAGGTTATGTCACTATGACGTGAAATATGCCTGAGTTCTCCCAATATAGGCCAACCTTGGGAGGATCTATATTTGGGCAAGAACGAAGGCATATTTCATGTCATGGTGACATAACTGATGTATTACATACCTTTATTCCCATGGCTTCTTTGTATCAATGACGTCACACATCTGTGTGCGAGTAGAATTTGGTTGAAAAGAAACATGACGTTGTGATATTGTCATGGTTATTAAAGAATCTAATATCAAAATGAGGTAAGGGGGCTGTATCAGGGTAATCGGGCAATATCGTTGGATATAGCCCGCTAACTTTCCCATTGACTGCCATACAAATGCTGCGCTTGGTATGTAATACTTGAATATATAGTGGTGGGTTTAAGTTCGCTAAAAAGTTTGAAAATCAGCATTTATTTTAGAGCTCCCTTTTGTTTCAAGGAGATGCAATTTATCATATAATTTGATCCTATTATCGCACAGAATGCATCAAATAAGTCTTGCTTACCCCTACAAATTATCACAGCTGTATTGAAACATGTGTTGCTTTATGATACACCCATTTGGTTATAATTCCAGGACTTTATCAAGTGGAGAAGGCTTGGTTTACCACTGGGATGTCAGGGTTTGGCGTGTGGAAGTTCGCATTCAGACGGTTAAAAGATCAACCCCCTCCACCATGGACTATTGTTGATACTAAAAGTGAGGTATGTATCCCATGTGAAATGAATAGTGAAACACTCAGGAGTAAATAGGTTTGAGGTAATATTCAAAAGGCAAAAATTTACTATTTGATTCAACCCAATTGTGTAGTCTCATAGCGGTTCTATTAAAGTAATGTTGCAAATACTACAAATCATTTCAGAGGTTCTGGAAAAATTGTTTGTTTGAATCTGCAAATCTATATATAGTTCTATTTATATAATTCTGATGAAACTAAATTCATGTTTATGTCAGTTTTTTAGATTAATATTGATACTGTATCAATTGTATTTTCTAAGCTTATCCTCTATTCCTTTTTGCATCAGCACATCGTATGACTCATTATCCCATCGAACGAAGTTCGGAGGGATATAGGGAACGCCTCCGTCCGTCCGTCCGTACGTACGTACGTACGTACGTACGTCCGTCCGGGCAATAACTCAAATACCGTTGGCCCGATTTTGTTCATATTTTGTACACATATACCCTATGGAAGTAGAAGTTCTGCTCGAAAGCCAATTTTCAAAATGGCCGCTCATTTAAAAATGGCGGCCATTTTAGTGCCGATTTTACAGTAATTTAGGTGCAATATGTAAAACTGTAATAGCAATATGTTTTAAATGTAAAAAAATTATATAGGACATTGATAAAGCTAGAAATGTAGATATTAAAAAAGCACATGGCAGCCATCTTGAAAAATGGCGGCCTTTACTCGTTATTTTACGATTTTTGCTGTAACTCAAGAAGTAGTGGAGCGATTTTATTCATATTTGGTTTGTGAATACTATAAGCATGGCACACTGTCTAATGACACTTTTGGTAGAAGGCGGCCATTTTGAAAAATGGCCGCCATTTTAACGTATTTTACTATAACTCGAAAAGTGGTGGAGCGATTTTGTTCATATTTGATATGTGAATACTATAAACATGGTACACTGTCTAATGACACTTTTGGTAGAAGGTGGCCATTTTGAAAAATGGCCGCCATTTAAAATCATTTTACTCGGCCTTTACTCGTTATTTTGATTTTTGCTGTAACTTGAAAAGTAGTGGAGCGATTTTGTTCATATTTGGTATGTGAATACTATAAGCATGGCACACTGTCTAATGACATTTTTGGTAGAAGGCGGCCATTATGAAAATTGGCCACCATTTTAAAGTTTGCTATATATTTCGTTTGTAAAAATGCCAGCCATTTCTGTTCGATGGGATTCGCTACGCTTTGGCGTTGCCGTTGTTCTGGTTTAAGATAGTAAAGCTCTCTAAGATGAGATTTGAATTCATTAATCCACAAAATGCCATATGAAATGTATATTTTTAATACTCTTTCTTTAATTGTAAATTGTTTATTGTAGCCTGGAGATGATGTACCAGACAGCCAAGATTCTGGGGTAGCTGACCTGAAATCTGACCCTGGTTCCTCTAGATCTGCCTCCCCAAGCGTAGACTCCTTATTTGGGAGTAACAACTCCGACACACCCTCATCACAAGGCAATGAGGTAAAAGATCACCTCCAAGGGGAGCTTGCTGATCCTAAAGATAAACCAGAATCTTCCAGTGTTCTGACAGAACCCACAAACAAGGACGAGAAGGAAGACCCTGAATCAAATGAGGGAATTGACTTAAATAGTAATGAGAAGTCAGCAATTGAACCCAACGAAGAGACAAATGGTACTTCTGATAAAGCGGAGCTTGCTTCTAAAGATCAAGGTTCTGAAAAGTCAGTGCAGGAATGTGATGGTCTCCAACTCTTTTGTGACGGCAGTTGACTGAGTTTGTAACAAATGGCATGTGGTGACATTTTGCATGTTAATGCCTTGTTTTCAATTCATGTTTTCAGTTTTAGACCGCTAGATTCAAGCTGCTGGTACGTCTGTTTTGTTTCCCTGGACTTAGACTACTTGTATTGAGAAAGATGTCACTACCAGCCTGTGATGGTGAGGTTCAAACCAAACAATCCAAGAGCAAAGCAACACTTAACATGAAAGAACAGTACCCATGTTTATTAGATGGAAAGATAATGGGATTTTATTATACAACAAATGCTATAATTCCAATTTAGAGAAAAATGCACTTGTTTAAGTACTTCGTATCAGAATATCAGGGCACCTGACATTGAATTTAATTATGTCACAACCAGAGGGTCTATAGTCTCCAACTTTTTTGTGGACAGTGTTTGGCGTAACACTTTGCAATAACTTAAATCCTTGTTTTACTTTTTGACTCCACCCAATCTGGCTTGAAGAAACAAAATATAGATTTCTTAAATTGCAATGTAGCAATGTGGAAGTTTGCAAGGGGGGATATCCTGAAAAAATCGGTGCTTATTTTACACAAAAGGTCATTTTCTCAACATGGGACTATCTTCTTAAATTTTTTGCTTCAATTTTAAGAATGTAAATATGTAGAGTTGCATTGTACATATTGAACTGGATAGATTAAAACAGTTAGCCTAACTTAGTATTGTAAAGTTGACTGCGTCACTACGATCTTAAGATTTAATGAACATGTATCTAGATAAGATTACGTATATTACAAGATTTCAAAGGTGCTGTTCAGTTTGGTAATTTTAGATAATATTGAACGATATTAATGTAATATTATTTTACCAAATTTTGCATGAATGTCTATGTTATAATCATATAGCAATGAAATCATATATGTATTATATTGTATAAACAGTATATTTGGATTGTAATATGCATATTTTTACTAATTAAGTGATTATTTTTACTAATTTAGTGATTGTTTAATCATGAAATTATTTTTAAAGGGGAATGTAGTATTATGTAGAATTGGTACAGTTTTATTCTACCTACATTTGCACTATATTGTTTGAAATGAAAATCACCAAAGGCCATGAATTTCTTCTATCCAAAAATTTATCCAGAGAAGTTTTTGTTAAATTGGTACAATTCTATGATTTTTGGGGAAACTCCCAAGAATTGTGAGAAGAATATTGAAAATCAGATTTACATTTATCAAAATGTCAATCCTCGTGTGTAGGACAAGTGGTTTGAGATAAGGATTCATCCTTGTTCGAATGAACAGAACTTTCGGGATAAATTACTGGATTAATCCCACAATGCATCATTACAAATGAGAAAAATTATTTGAAATAATATTTTGGATTGTACAAATTCATGACCCCAGAAGTGTCTATTACTGTTTTAATCATAATATCATTGACATTGATGCCTACTGTCACAATACATATACCTGTGAGTATATCATTGACATTGATGCCTACTGTCACAATACATATACCTGTGAGTATATCATTGACATTGATGCCTACTGTCACAATACATATACCTGTGAGTATATCATTGACATTGATGCCTACTGTCACAATACATATACCAGTGAGTATATCATTATCATTGAAACCTGTTCTCATAACACATACAGACATATGCCAGTGTACAGGTGTAGCAATGCCATTCAAGCCTATTGTCATAGCACACATATGTACATGTAAATCATTGAATCCTGTTGCCATAGATTATTTTGTTATGCTTTGCTTAGAACTATGGGTTACCAAAAATGTGTTCAAATTTTCAGCATTTGCACAAAATGATGAAAAGAATATAAGAGAATGTAATCTAAAATAGCTGCATCTATATTACGTTTTGAGATATACATATGCTTTTTATATTTTTGAAGCCATAGAACAATATTGTAACTGTGCATAAATTACATTTTAGATTTTATCATTATTATTATTTTGCAATAAAATTCTAGTTTTATAGATAAGTATATCATTATTATGAACATTGTTATTGTGTTCAATTTTTTCACAAATGAAAAGACCAAAATTGAAATGTTGGTCTAGTCTAAGCAATGACTAAAACCAAAAGCGCACAATATATACCATATTCTCTCTAATTAACACACAGTACGCTCCTCAAAAGTTAAAATATTGAAAGATACCAAGAAGCTGATAAGCACACATAGAGAAAATAAGAAAAATGGCCAATATCATGACTGTAAAATCACTTGCCATACCTCACATGGACCTCTGCTGATGAAAGTGGAGCATTTGAGGATAGTCATGCAGGGTTGATGGTATTTCAAGGGGTAATTGACGAAACTTTGCTAACATTTACAGGCCGGAAGGGGATTTTCACAACTTTTTTCACAACTAACCACAACAGACATTGCATCTTGAACCTGGGCTTGTACTATAAATTAGTAGTATATCTAATCAATAAATCAGATGATTTCTTTTTTATATGACTTTTCAAAAGGTCCATGTGCAGTATCGCAAGTGATTACAGAAGGTCATGGATTAGGACCCCACATTGGAAGTTTTTTAAGAATGTTTGGCTCATTTCTAAAAAGAGGATCTTGTATTTCTCAATTTGAACATATCGAAAGTTTCTTCTACACTATATTGACAATTTCTGAAAAGGGAATGTAGGGAAAAGCTCGTGCTATTCATTGTTTTCAGCATAGTTTTGGTCATCGAAAATGGATATCTTCAAAACTAGACTTTCAATACCATTCTACTTTTGAAGAAGTTTTAGACCCCTTCTTGAATAATCTTTTCATGCAATAAAAATCAGAAAAAGAAGATCCTCTTTTGAGTAAATAGGTTCAACATTTTGAAAATAATGTTGACATGGGGTCCCTATTAATAATTTTTCGAATTGTTTGATTGATATTTTTTATCATTATGGGTACTTCACCTGAAAGAAAACATATTGTTTTAATAAATACCACTGTATTTTTGCCCAGAAAGTACTCATGGTTAAAGATATGACTATCTTAAATCACTTGCCATACTGCACATGGACCTTTGCAGGGTTAATTTTAGGAAACAACGCCTGAAAGGAATGGTCACTACACAATGCATTGAGTTTTGGACTTAAATTCTTTTTCACACACTTGCAAACTATTTTCTACAAAATCATCAAAAAGAAAAAAATTCACCAAAAGAACATATTTTCAATGAAACATCTTGCAAGTCTGAAGCTGGCAAAGTATCAATTTCAATTTGCAGAATCCAGTCATCACCATGACAACCATTTAGTCTAGTGACCTTTGAGTTCGTTATTGGTTATATAACGGAATGCAGTTACTTGCAATAGCGTGTTCTGATTGGCTGGAATTGGACACACCTTGCCTAGCTATGTATGAATCGTGTGTAATTTGATTACACCCGTCTTACGCGCGTTATTGCACGCGTAATTATATTAAAAGAAGTACGTTGAAGACACGCGTTAAATGAAAAAGGTAAATGCGTTTGGTAAATCAGCCAATAAAATTCTTGCTATCAAAAAGCGCATTTACACTCAGCTCTAAATTTCCCCAAACAATTCAAACATCATGGCTAGCCCTAAGGATCGTCAACTTGCTGATCATCTTATAAATAAACGAGGATGTAAAATGACACACTTTTATTCAGTGTTTCTGATTGGACATAATTTGGCCACTGCATTTAAAATTAAATGATTTTTTTTTATTTGAGAGCTCTTTTAATAAACATAACATTTTAATGGTCGCAAACTCTTCAGACTCGTCTTAGATTAATTGAATATATTATTACTGTTACAACAGGGGTGTTGCAATTGGCAGAACATTCCATTTACATTATGTTTAATATTGAGAAGATGATCTTGTATATCTCGAAGAGACACTCGCCATTTTCACGACGTTTATTAGCATAATTCCATTGACTGTTTTAGCGATATTTTTGTGACCTTTAACGCCTGTCTTCGACACGCGTCTTTTAAATTTAATTACGCGGTGGACTTCTCCAACGTAATTACGCGTGTGTTAACGCGTAATTCCTTATACGAAATAATTACGCGTGTAATTTCTCACACGAAACTTTTTAAAAAGAAGTATGCTAAAGCTAGGATGAAGAAATAAATAAATGATAAAATAAAATAGATAAATGAGTCTGGTCATAGGAAAACTGGTCTTATCACCAAAATTAGAATTGTGCTACAGAGCCAAAAATGTGCCCAAAATTTAGAGGAAAACGTGCAAAATTCAAATCCGACTCTTTTATGTTAGTTTCAGGGTTTATATATGCAATGAAAAAATGTCAAGACATAAGCCATGGCGGCTCATTTGAAAGGTCTCTTTGTGTTTTCTAAGACAAACCAAAAATCAAAATATTGAAAAAATCTGTGATAAGACCCCTTTTCCTGTGGCCTGGCTCAAATATTTCTTCATGTATGCTTGATTGAATCGTAAATCGGTAACTGCTTATGTAAACTGGACATCAAGTGTACATATTTTGTACATTATCATTCTGAAATTACTACTACTGACAATCGGCATTCAAATAAATTATTTCATTTTTGAAATCTATTAATATTAATTAAAGAATATGGAATTTATTAACTGGAAATATATAAAATTGGGTCACACTTAAAGGCTCTATGCAAAGTTTGAGAATATGCTTTAATAATCATTGGCTAACTATTATTCATGACTTTAAACGTTATGTAAAGCCCGGTACACACCAATGAGGCAAAATCCCACTTGCCCCGGAGTCCCATCTTGCCCCATCGAATCCCAATTTGCCCCATCGAATCCCACGAAGTCCCATGGGACCTTGATGACTTTGCCCCATTGTGCCCCATGGAGTCCCATCAAGCCCCATGGAGTCCCATCAAATCCCACCGTGCCCCATTGGTGTATGTCGGGCTTCACACAACACGTCATATGATCGAAAATCCCACGATGCCCCATGGAAAGAATGAACATGTTCATTCTCGATGGGACTCCATGGGACTTCGTGGGATTTTGCCCC